CGGTGCTTGGATATGGGTGTCTGAAGGATTGGTCATCTCACTGTCTCTGTGTTTCTAGCAGTCTATGGCATACGTACGGTATGTCCGGTGCTTGGATATGGGTGTCTGAAGGATTGGTCATCTCACTGTCTCTGTGTTTCTAGAAGCTTATGCATAGATGCTTATGCTGTGGTAGTAAGTGTGGCAGTTCGATTGGCTAATCATTTGTTTTTCATAATAGTTGAACAGCTTCGGAATATGCTGCGTTCAACCCGCCGTGCGTTTTGGGTTTAGATGTTTTTGGTCAGTGTTCGCTCATTGCCATCAGCGCTACGGAAACATCGAATATTTCATCTAATGTATCATTGATTGCTCTGATCTTTGCTTAGCCAGTGTGTGTGAAGATGTTGTCGGCTATTTTCCGCATTCGAACCCCGTGCTACGATTGCAATGCCGTGAACATAGACCTTTGCCTCTGCGGCGGTGAGGTTTTGGAAGAATATTTTGTTATGTTTGGATGCTCGCAGATATGTTACGTAAGATTTAGCGGAGCACCCGATTTCGTAAAAGTTATTCCAGTGCCGGTTCGTTCCCCGAGTGCACCGGACCAGCTGACGCTACACCCTTTCTTGAGAGATGTCCTCTCTGTAGATGACACGCTCCTGATGATGTCGGCTCCGAAGCTTCCAGCGCCGCGCTAGGATTGCGGCTGCTGAATCGAGGGCTATGTCTCCTGACCCAATCAACCAGTCCTCCGACATCTGGCCCAAACCAGCCTATGTCCCCTGATCCAGCCAACCAGTTGCCCGGTACCAGACGGAACCCAGCTTAGGTCCCCTGCCGCAGCCAGTCAGCCCTCTGGCACCTGACCCGACCATCCCAGCAAGGCTACCGAGTCTCCGCCGCTTCCGTGGGCCTGTCGCGACTGTGCCGGCCGGGTCGGGACGGGTCGGGCCAGGCCGGAGCGCCGGAGCGCCGGCGAAACCGGTCCCCGGTCCGCACACGCCCGGCCGGCCCGCCGCGTGCGCCGCCGGCGCTGTGCCATCATCGCCGCTCCCGAGCCCCGCCTTGCCGGCTGTCGCGCGCTCGTTATCTTTAGTGGTTGGGGCAGCCGTCTTGGCATGGGAGTTCTGCGAGCCGGTGGGCGGCCGACGGCACGGAGATGTTATCGTTCCGGTCCTGGCCGTATTTACGCTATTGCTGACCGAGTCCTGCGGTCGTGTCGGGGCTTAGTGAGGCGCGTAGCAACAGGCCGCCACAGCGTCGGCCGCGCCGGCCGATGTCGGCCAGACGCCGCTGGTGGGTGCGGAGCCTGTACGCCATGTGGGGATGCCCGCGCTGCTGCCGGTCGCCGCCGCCGGACGTGAGGCAGGCTGCAGGGCCTCGTATATGTGACACAGCTCAAAGGAATGGCCTGCGGATCCGCGTGTCGGCGTAGCCCTGAGGGCTGTGACCAATTGGTGGGCGCCAGGCTGGCAGGCGTCTCGAGGGCGCCTAGTGCGGCCCCAGGCAGTGGCTGTGTGTGTCTCCTGGACGCGCCGGTGCCTTTGGCCTGGCACCCGGCGCGTCCGCCCGCAGGCCGGCCGCCCTCCGCCCTCCGCCGTCGGCGGCCGGCGTGGTGCGACCGGAAGGCGTGATGCGGTAGCGACGGCCAGGGCATGTCCGGCCGGAGCCGGAGCGGAGCCCGCGCACCGGTCACGGACGGCCAGCTGGGGACGCTCCTCACCGGCCGCGGCCGCCCGTGTCGGCACTTGGCTGATGATCAATGCGGCCTGCGGTGAGCGCGATCGCCTTTCCGGCGGCCGGTGCTGCGGTTCTTGCGGTTTTGTCCGCGATCGGCGCGGGGTCGCGGCGGTCGCCTCGCTGATTGAGGCGTTCGTGTCGGCGACAGCTGCGGCGTCCGCCACGCTAACGGCCGGATAACAGGCGGCTTCCGGCGCCGTCCGCACCTGATGGCCGCCGGGCGACGGCAGAGTTCTGCGGTCGGTCTGATCGTGCAGAGCGGTTCGACGCCGGCCGATTTTGCGGTCGAGGGGCACCGCGGAGGCGCCCCGTGAGCGACGCGACCGATCGGGCCCGTGGTTGAGCCGGCTGGTCGCCGGGCGCGCGGCACGCTCCCCGTAGATTGCATTGGTAATTCGTGTGACGTAGCGCGCGTGACGTCACACGCTGTGACGTCATCATGCCAACGAGCGATTGGTCAGCAATGGACCGACAGGCCGGGAGGTCCGTCACCTTGATGGCTCGCTACGAATGCTATACACTCAGCTTAAGGAAGATTCATCGGATACGTGACAACGAAAAATTCCTACCAAATCCCTGCACGTCCCGGTGCGGGGCAGTCGCGCCGCCCACGTTGGAAACTTCGCACGTCGTATATTACATGTCCGGACATCCGGCGCCGTGGACATTAATCTATTACCGTGAAAATATGACTCCGCGGATCACGCGTGTGTGAGAGTGAACAGTGGTGTGCGCCGACTTGCTTAAGCGCACCCGGAACACTTGCAACCACTGATGAGCTCGATACGTCCTGCCGTGTTGGTATTTGTCGGATTTTGCACTCCGAAAGCAAACACCTGCTGGCTTATTCTGGAATCAAGATGAATCCAGCTCCGGGATCGGCCATGAAAAAGCAAATATCGAGCCGTTCGCCGGATCCGTATCCTTTCCTATCTGACCTTTTCGTCGGCTCTCTGCCGCGATGGCGTGACTGACACGTGTTTGTACCGTTTTCCAGTGGCATGTATGTGGTGTGGGTGACCAGTTTCGCCGAGCTCTTCAACCAGACGGGCCATCACTGGGCGCTGGTGCCGCAGCCGCCGTCCACGCCGAAGCCCGACCGCATCTGGCGGTGCTACAGCACGTCCGCCAAGATCCGATTCCGCTGTGTGAGTGTGCCTGTCGGCGCGAGGCCGCGGCTGGAGCCCGGCTCCGCGTGGGCCTGTGGCGCGGGCTGCAGGCCGCAGCGCGGCGCGGCCTTCGATGTGCAACGAAGACGCCGCGGCTTGTCTTGTATGCTGAGGCGGGATGCATGCGTGAGAGGGCGTATTGACGGTGCTGCACTCAGACGGGATCCCAGAGTGTGCGACTGTGCGCGATCTGTAATGTTCTGGAAGCGTGTTGCCACCTTCGCGCCATGGTGCCCTTTTGTCGTATGGGAGCGGTCGCAGCGTGGGCTCGTCTGATGCCGCCGTTTGTCCGCAGGACCGGTGCGGCAACAAATGGACGTCAATCCATGGCCAGGTGTCCTTCCAGTACTTTTTGCGCAAAGGATCGGGCGCGGGCACCGTCTTCTTTCAGCTGTTTGGTCAGAAGTGCTCCGTGTGCGTGCGCCAGCGGCTGCGCGAGCGCGTCTCTGCCACTGCGACCACCGCCGCCGGCCAGAGCGCGGCTACCGAGCCACAGCCAGCCGCCACCGCCGCCGCCCCCGCCGCCGAGCCAGCGGGAGCTGCCGCAGCCGCCGCCGCGGGCGACGAGGACGACGGCGTGGGCTACGCCAACCCGATGTGGTACCCGGACGAGGTCCGACGGGTGAGTGGGCGCGACCGTTGCGGCTGTCCCTGCGTCGGCGGCAGGCTTCCTGCCGGCCGCCCCCGCGCGCCTCGTGCGATGGCCCTGCCGCCGCCAACCGCTCATCCCGGCCGCAGCCGGAACCGGCGGGGGCGGCGGCGGCAGCGGCGTCTCGCCGGCCGGTTCGTTGAACGGTGGCCGGTCGGCGCTGGTTTTCCCCACGTTGGAGCAGGTCAGCACACGGCGCCGGTGGAACGCTCGCGCGCCGGCCCGGTCCGTTTGGCGAGCAGGCTCCCAATCCGCACCATGCCTGGCCTCGGGCTCCGCCGAGCGCGAGCCGTCGAGCCGCTTTCCCCCCTGGCAAACCCAGCGTGGGAAACCGGACCGTCCGGGTCGCGGCATCCGCCCCCGCGCCGGGTGCCGCTACCCACGCGGGGCGTACCTGGGCGGGGGGGGGGGGGGGCGGCCAGCCACCCCCACGCTCGAGTCCGCCGGCCTCTCCGGAGGCGTGCCGTGACGCGGCACCACGCGCCGGGGTCAGCCCGCCAGCAGGATGTCCCGGTGCGGCGCTTCTCAGCACGGGACGGCGGGCGTGGCGCCGCCCCGCTCCTGCCTCCAGCTCGCTGCCGCCGCGGTGGGCGTTCGCGCGAGAGGAGACGGCGCCGGCGCGTGGTCGGAGAGCTCCGCTGGGTCGGGCGGTTGGCGACGCTGGCGGGGAACTGACCTAGGAAGGTGGCGCCGAGCCGCCGGAGGGCCGCTCCTCCGCAGCTGCCTGGGCCGAGAGGGACGGTCCCGCTGGGGCTTTCCGCCCGGCTTTAGTGATTGAGTAGGGTCAGGGGAGCGCAGATTCCGCACTCAGCAATGCTGGCTTGATTTCACTCGAACTTATGTCGCATGTTTGCAGATCGTCGGATATTTCGACGCTCAGCGAGCCGGGCGTTTTTCATATTTCTGGCACAAGCGTGTTTGACTGGTCTGTGGATAGCACATATGTAGCGTGCTCTTGGATGACTCCGCGTGGCAAGGAGACTGGCAGCAGGCGAGCCGCTTCCGATTAAGGCTCTGTGATCCGTCAGGCGCCAAGCCGACCCGTCTCACCGTCACCCCCTCCTCATCCAGGTGTTGCTGGAGCTGTACGTCCAGGTCACCAGCAAGCTGTACCCGGATCTGCCGCGCGTGGTGCCGCCGTCCGGCCAGCAGCGCCGCTTCGGTCAGCCGCAACAGCAGCACGATCTCAGCCTGTGCCAGGGCTGCGCGGCCGGCATCTGCCGTATGAAGCGGCGCGGCCGGGTAGACCGCGGGCAGCGCGCACCGGATGGGAAAGAGGTTGCCGTGGATTGCGTGGGAGCCGGCGGCGCTATCTGTGGGAGATGAACGGTGGGTTGTTGGGCGTGCTTTCCAGCAGACGCAGAAGGGGCTACGTTGTGTCGGCGGACCAGTGGCAGGAGGTGGGGGCTGGTAACGGGCGGAACGGGAATGCCGTTCATCCCCGAGATGTTTTTAAGAAGCGCATTTTAACATGTTTTATTAGGCTAGTTTCAGTCGAACCGGCGACTTCCTTTGAGTTTTGCTTCCTCGCTGCGCACGACAGCGTCTCATAGTCATCATTTTATACGTGTTTGTGCGATGTGCATATGCACCAAGATGTTCGTGTGCCATCATTTATATACACATCGTTGTGTAGGCACTGTTTTAGCGGAACAGATACACGGAAGATGCGGGTGCTGTTGCGCCCTCCGGAGCGCTCATTGTTCAGAGGGTAGTGCGAAAGTGACACGTTCAACGAGGTTCCAAGGACTAGCTGTCCCGGCTGGGGTCGCGAGGCCGCGGCCGCGGTGGTCGACGAGCTGAGATATGTGCACTGGGTGGCCCGGCCGCATCAGCAGCTGCTCGTGGCCGCGCCGACACGAAGTGACGTCCAACGCACGTGGTCCCTGCTCGCTTCCGACACCAAGCATCACAACTCGCGGTCCAGGGGGACCCGGAAGACTGTAAATTAGCAAACACTTTCCCTAACACGACGAAATTGAAGGCGATCAACGCGATCGACGACCTAAAATCGCGATCAACGACAACGAATTTGCGTTAATGTATCACTACCCGCTTCGACCCGACTCTGTAAACGTCTTACGGAAACAAAACTTTACGCACTGCACTTATCCAGCGCGAGAAGGACGTCATTGTCTTGCAAATGAATGAACAAAGTATCCCACTGAACAGGCCGAATACGACGCACATTTGTTGAGCGCGTAGGGCGCTCGTCATAAAGTAACCTCCTTTAGCTACCTGCCCCCTCCCCTGATCGCAGGTGATGCATCATATCCTTCGAACACATTATATGCAATACGAGGCGCCGGGAAGCCAATGATATTGTCAGTGCTGTAGTGGGGCGCATCACTCCACGACAAAAACAAGACAAACCTGTTGCGGTGCCCGTGCGGTTTCCCAAAAAAAGTGCTTTCACCAGCGCGTGAACCCTTGGAATGCAACACAACATGCATCAGTTGTTACTAAAATAACGCCTCCACCAACTCTTGAGCACCAGGAATCAAACAGCAAACGCTTCACGAACAAACGACACCCGCGACCGCCTCGCGGTCCTATCCACTGACCGACGGGGCCAGGTAGAGCGGGAAACACTGGGCTCGGTCGACGGCCCAACTGCACCCCGAGCTCCCGCGTGGCACCGCCGGCCGGCCCGTTTGTGCTGCACTCACGGACGGGTTGGCTCCGTTCGGCGCATGGCCTGCGGTGGCGCCGACCCGCAACCGACGCCAGGGCTGCCACGCTGAACGCCAGCCCCGACGCCGCGCTGCGGTGTTGGTGTTGGAGGCGGCGGGCCGGCGGGATGAGTCCCACCGCCAGCCGACGTCACATGGTGGCCTTCCGACACCGCCAGGTCGACATGTCAGGCGTCATCACAAACCTAACCGGCGCTGACGTCACACGGTGGCCTTCCGACACCTCCAGGCCGACATGTCGAGCGCCTGCAGGGCGAGCAGGCGGCGACGGCCCCAGAGCAGCCAGAGGAAGCCGAGACAGACGCAGGCGGCGCTCTCCACATAGCCGTCCATACTAACGAGGCACGAGCCGCCCTCTCCGCAGTCCTGCCGGGCAGACGGCAGGGTGTCGCTGAGGCGCCGGCGACGGGGGCGGGGGCGGGCTGGCCGCGGCGACGAGCCCGGGTCGAGCGGGCCATGGACAGGTTGGCCTGACACGACTTGGAGTGGGGTGAGCTGCTAGTGGCAGGGGCGGGGGAGGGGGGGGGGGGGGGTTCCGATTTGGCAGGTTTGCGAACAGCGTGTTGACCCTGCAGAGGCTATGGCAGGTTACGAGGGCCGACGGTATGTCAACAATGGACAGCAGTCTTTACGACACTCATTCTGAACAGTGGCAAACCGTTCATCCTCGGCCTCCGAGGGATTCATCTCACCAGTTACACAAACTAGGGGACCAAGTGTAAAAGTTTGGACCCTGACGGCCATCGATGTCTGTAAACTACGTCGCAAACATGACATCTGCAGACATCCACACCATGACTGTAGTGCGAATGACTTGCACCGCCCGTCCTGGGTTTGAAACGGCCATGAGCGCGCGGCTATGTCTTGGAAAAGCTCTCACCGCAGTGGCACGTCACTTATCCGTCGCTGGCTCGCATGCCATGTCGACCATACAGCGGTGCGGTACGACAGCCGTACAGAGAACGGGTGGACATTTCCAGCGCGCCTCCTTGTGTTACCGAGAGCCGGCGGGGCAGGTGCGGGTCGGTGGCCATACCACGCGTGTGGCCGTTGCATCCAACGAGAGATTAGCTAGATGTGCCGGACAATCCGCAAACCAAAGCATTCCACGCGTTTCCGTGCCCGGGTTTGAACGGATGCGTAGACGAGGACGCGGTCACATAAGCAAGAGCACAGGCATGATCGGTCACAAGAATTAACTCGGCATACATGCTTTCACAATTTGATACTTTTCCACTTCAACAGCAGCATGGGGACGCCACGTATCCATGGCGGAAAGCCCACAACAGACAGCAGTCACCGTCCGCCAACACGCAGCCACGGTGGCCGCGCGTCGCAAGCACGTCCGTAACGCCGCATTGCGTCAGCCGGGTCGCTTTTCCCCACACGGCCCGTCTGCCGGGAGCGGGACGGAGTGGGCTGGAGCGGGTCTCACCTGGTCACTACCGCAAGGGCCACCCCCACCGCCGCCGCCGGCGCAGGCCCTCCAGGTCAGCCGGTCCACCATCCAGAGCATGAGCGTGGCCGGCCAGTTGCGGCACCTTTCGGGGTCCGAGAGGAGCGGTCAGCCAGCTTAAGGCGCACGCGTCACAAAGGTGCGGCGCACCTGCCACAGACGGGATGGACGGGTCCAACGGGCGACAGCCGGGGAGGGGTACCGATGTGGGCCGGGGACGGACGGCGGTGACGGTGTGGCGCCGTGGGAAGTTGATTGATTACGTGGATCCCGGAAACATGATCACACCCTAACGCAAATATGATGCACATCACGCTTGTTCAGCGGGACGGCTCTCAGGGGCAATGACACAACCTGGATTCGAACCCCGGTCCCCCAAACGGAAGCCGAAGACAATGAAGTCTCATATACGCCACATGGCGAGTCATCGCGACACTCATTTGACGGCAGTCGCGACAAAGGCCTCAAGCCCGGTTGATTACATGATGACAATGCCAACCAATACAGGTTTAGCTGCCAGGAAAGGCTAGACGAGTAAATACGTCACAACGGGCATTACAAGTACTGCAGTACCCAGCATAAGAGGGAACAGCAACATAATACCGCTCCGAGCTGCGGCTTACGTAAACAAACCCCAGAACGTTAACCAACCCTCCCTGCATCAGAGGCGTTCCACATGGCGCCGCTCGAGCCAACCCCCAGCACCTGACGGCCCGGGCTGGGACCACGGCGCCGCCTCGGCTGCTCACCCAGGTTGGTGACAGTGTTGAGCAGCGTCATGTACGTGCCGTCCATGGCCGGGTCGGAGATGCGGGCGAAGAGCGCCATCACCGACACGAACATGGAGTAAAGCGTGACCTGATGCAGCACGAACACGGCCAGGATGAGCCCGTAGTAGCTGAGCGGGAACGAGATGTCCTCCAGCCGGAACAGCGGCGTCACGTACACCAGGCCGGCCATCACCAGACCGAAGAGCAGCCTGGCGGACGCGGCGCCAACTGTTAGTGTCGGAGGCGGACGCCAGGGCGCCAGGCTCACAGTGCGTATGTGCCGCCGTCGCGTGTTAGCGGGGGTCCGAGTGTGTTAGCAGCCGTGGGAAGTCCGCTTTGATAACATCACGCGCATGACCTGAGCAATGCCTGACCTGAGCCCGCTGTGTCCGCTCGGAGGACACGTCACGGCCAGCTTTCGAGATCTGAGCACAGCGCAGTCCTCATACGAGATGCGGCCCCACCGCTTCAACTTCCGAACACAGCAGCAGCGCCGCTCGCGTCATCCACCCGCCAAGTCGGGACAAACTCTTCCCCGATCACAGCAGCACCTCTCGGCGACCCATCCCCCGTCATGAGGACACGCTCCGCAAACTGAAACCCAGGCCAAACCAGCGCCCGTTTCCAAGCCGCGGTCACGGCGGCACCACCCGCCGCGACTGATCTCCAGGGCATGGCGCCGAGGAAGAGGCTCATGGGCCGCGACCCGGCAGTGTACTTGCTGATGGCCAGCGGCAGGATGATCTGCAGCGGGCTCATGGGAACGGCCATCAGTGCCAGTCGGTCCTTGGGCACGCCGGCCTCGATCAGCTTCAGGCCGGTCACAGCATCAGCGGACGCGAACCCCACCTGGCGTCCCGGCAGGCACGGTCAGAGTGTGCGTCTGTCACGGAGGGCACGGCCTGGCGTCCGGGCAGACAGGGGTCAGAGCGTGCGTTTCAAGGAGAGCACCGCCTAACATCCAGGTAGGCAGGGGTCAGAGCGTGCGTGTCGCACAGGGCACCACCTAACGTACGGGTACACAGGGGTCAGAGCGTGCGTGTCACACAGGGCACCGCCAAATGTCCGGGCGGGCAGGGGTCAGAGTGTGCGTGTCACAGAGAGCACCACCTGTCGCTAGGGCAGACGGGGGTCAGAGCGTGCGCGTCACTGAGGGCACCGCCTGGCGTCCAGACAGACAGGAGTCTGATGCTGGTGCTCTCCGTGCGTGTCACGGAGGGCACCATTTGGCACATGGAGACAGACATCACCGAGCAGTGACACGAATAAAGACGTAGCTGTCACGCATCAAAACACCATCAGGGATGAGGAAGCTACATGACTGTCACAGAAGGTGGTCGGGTCATCATTAGGACAGCAGCCTGCAAACCAAGGCACGGCGCTGTCACCGGCTGTTCGTCGCCCTCGAGCAGACCCCCATCTCACCATGACGGGGAGCAGTATGGCAATGAGCGTGCGGACGGGCTGGAGCCGCGTGATGCGCACCAGCTGCGAGTACGTCTGGGTCACGCTCATCTCGGGGTCGCGCGTGCCGTCCCGGTTCAGCGGCGACTCGCGCTTGCATCTACTAGCATCACCATCGTGGTGGTCAGCAGGAACACCACGCCCCAGAATAGCATGAAGCCTGCAGCGAAGAGGTGTGCGCAAGGTGCTAACACGCAGGCGTCAACTCGCCGCCAATAAGGGTCATGAACCGCAAGGCAGATGAAGGATTACGATGTAAAATTTGAGTAAATGCCAATGAGATAGCGCATTGCGATGGGCCGTCCCAGTTTATAAAGGTTGATGAATGGAAAGCACAGAAGCAAACAGCAGCAGGCAGATATTGGCCACATCGCCGGTTAGGCCGCCGCCGGGGTGCTCAGCCGACGCCGGCCGAGGAAGAGGCTCATGATGGTGCCGCCGGATGGTGCCGCCGTGACCGCGGCTTGGAAACGGGCGCTGGTTTGGCCTGGGTTTCAGTTTGCGGAGCGTGTCCTCATGACGGGGGATGGGTCCTTCCGCGGCATCCTTCGCCATTCCGTCAGAGGCGCGCTTCCTCATCGCAGGACGCGCGGCCGTCCCTGTCAGCACCCAGAAGACACGACATAGCGTCAATGTCAGGACGAGTGGCGCAGGACGCGTGGCGCCGCCCACACACAGGGCCTCTGTTAGCGAACAAACGAGAGGCAATGCTGGGTATGGCGAGTGCTCTCTGTAAAACATTCAGAATTTGCAAATCCAGATGCATGACAAAAGTTGTGTAATTATTGGATGTCTCCTGTTTTTCAAGGAAATCCATTTCATTCCTTAGGTCAAAACTTCTTGCAAGAACTTCTGCCTACTGCAAGAACACAGGCAGGAGTTAACAGATATGCTCACATCACTTAATGCTTAAAGACAGTGCAGTGGATAAACTGCCTTGAATTCAGAGAGCATGGAGCAGTGCATGCCTCTTTTGTTTTTGAGTAGAGAATGCTCATTTTTAGTGCACAAAATCTGTGAGCTGTGAGAGGGCCAGTGTCCATTTTCACTTTGATGCAATATGTTTCTACACTTCTGAGATACATCACTTGTGAGGAAATAATTCTAGGTGTCTCCTGTGATATGCACAGCATCTCACATATCACAGATTACATTGGTACAAGCCATGCTGCTAGCTTGGTCTATATGTAGATTATCTATGCCCAGCATGATGCTGGATATAGATGATTGGTAGTGTAAGCAAAGAATATGATAATTCTTATTTTTTTAGGTCAAAAGCCTGCACAAAAAAATCCTTTTCACCAATGAATGCAAACATTTCCAAACATCTCATTTTAAATTTCAATTCAGGGTAAAAAAGTCTGACTCTCACTCAGTGCATACCTTGTTGATTCTGACTCCAAGCAGGTTGGTAAAGCATTGAGTCAGCTCTGCTTTTGACTACAGAACACATGACACAGCCATTGAATTACTTCTAATGGAGTCAACTCTTGTGATGACAATCTAGTACGGAGATACCTCATCTATGTGCTTCATAAATATTTTACTAACAATGCAGCTGTGCATGCATGCACTGCATTTTGTACACCCATAGGTGTTTAAATTTAAGTTGACTACATGACAACCTGGCTGACTTAACTCTGACCCTCAACATTTATGAAAGGAATCATTTACAGCCAAACCCCATACAAAATTGATTAATTCTTTACTATACAATGACTCCACCCAAGAACAAATCTGCTCTGCACTGCAACTGATATGAGACTGAAGTTTGTCAGCTTTGATACCTTACATAATTTGCATACCTGCAGATCACATAGAAGAAGCAACACTCACACCCAGCATACAAAGAAAATGGAATTTATCACATTATCAGGAACAGACAATCCATCTTGGTCCTACATCCAACACTATTGGCTTGGAATTAAGCAATATTGCTGCTGTGTCTCATGCCATAGCCAGGCAGGGGACTCATCAGACCCATAATCTTGAAATGTAAGATTACAACAGTAGCTTCACATGGAAGGAGCGCTAAAGCACCCTCATTCCTTCAAACAGTTCCCTGTCCTTCAAATTGTATATAACCAGTGTGTCTCAAGTGAAATCAAGACAACTATCCACCACTACCTACCAGATCCAATCCAAATACCCCGCATGGTGTGCCAACAGTTCATCAGTCGCTTCACCATTCAATCATGAGTTTCATGCCCACTTTCCGGGCGCAAATCATATAACCCAAACAACATATTTAGCACCAAAAATCACAAGCAGGCAATTAGCATCGTTTACTTCGTCGTTTTGACCATTGCTACTCACGATGCCCGCCTGAGCGCCTATCATCTTCAAGAAATTACCATCTGACACTACTATAATTTCGGCAACAAACCAGTAACGTGATTTTTAACTCGCAGACAGCAGACGATTTATAACACGTACTTAAAGGGCAACCCAGGGACCAAATCACGGACATACGAGAAACCAGGAATAGTATCCCAGTTCTGCACATTCGTGTCTCGACTTATCTGTTGGTGCGCTGAACCAACAAATTCACACTTATTAGAACAAAACACATCGTGACGACAATGTCGCTTAAGCTACAACACTTGGGTTCAATTAATATGGCTACTCCGTTGCCGTGAGATCCTGCCATCATGTCGTGCGGAGGGACTGTCGTAGTACACTCTTAAAGTAGTGCACCTCTTGTACAATTCCAACGAGCGAAGCCTGAAATCGCTCTGACATCCAGAGACATACTCTGCCGAGATAATTTGCCAACAGCAATCCAAAGGAAGCGGACCAAGCCCCGGGAAAATAAGACTGAAGCTGGACCAGCGTTCTCGGTACGGTACATATACGTCTATCAGCGTAGTGCACCTCACACACGAGTCCGGTTAATGTGATTCACACTTATTAGAACTTAACACATCGTGCTGACAATGTCGGTGGAACTGCAAGACTTCAGTCACATGAATAAGACTCATGCATTGCCGCGGGATGTTGCCATCATTGGCGAACGGACTGCAGTAGCTCCCTCTTCAAGTAGTACACCTCTTGTATAATTCCAATTGGCGAGACCTAAAAACCGCTCTGACATCCAAAGACATCCTCTACCGAGATAATATGCCGATAGCAATCCTAAGGAAACGGACCTAGCCCCGGAAATCGAAGAAATGAAGCAAAGCCAGGTACGGCACATATACGTCTATTACCGTATATATGCCGTACCGGAACATCCAAACCGTACCAAACTGACATTCAAAGACATGTTCTACCGAGAGAATATGCTAACAATAATGCCAAAGTAATAAGCCAAGCCCCGGAAACCGAAGACCGAAGTAAATCCCACGTTTTCAGTACGGTACATATGCTTTAATTGGCGCATCGCACCTCATACACGGGTCCGGATAATGCAATTCACACTTGCTAGAAATAAATATGTCGTGCGGACATTGTCGGTTCAGTTACAACACTTCGGTTCAATGAATAAGACCCATGCATTGCCGTGAGATGCTGCCATCATGTGCGGACGGACTGCAGTAGCAGCCTCTTAAAGTAGTGCACCTCTTGTATAATTCGAATTGACGAGACCTAAAAACCGCTCTGACATCCAAATACATGCTCTACCAAGATAATACGCCGACAGCAGCCCCAAGGAAATAGGCCAAGCCCCGCAAACCGAAGACCGAAGCAAAGCCAACGTTTTCGGCACGGCACATATACGTTTACTGGCGCGGGGCACTTGAAGCACCAGTCCTTATAGTTCGATTCACACTTACTAGAAGTAAACACGTCGTAACGACAATGTCGTACTTCGGTTCAATGAACAAGACTCATGCATTACCGTAAGATATCACCATCATGTTGCACGGGCTGACCTTACAAGCAACCCCTTTAAAGTAGTGTACCTCTTGCATTATTCCGGTTGGCGAGACCTGAAAACGCCTCTGGCATCCAAGAACATTCTCTACCGAGATAGCACTGTCGTGTATAAGGTGCGCTGCGCTTATAAACATGTATGCACCGTACCGAAAGCGTTGGCCTCGCTTCGGTCTTCGGTTTCCGGGGCTTGGTCGGGCCCCTTAGAGTTGCTGTTGGCACATTATCTCGGTAGAGTATGTCTTTGAATGTCAAAGCGGTTTTAAGGTCTCGCCAATTGGAATTATACAAGAGGTGCACTACTTTAAGAAGGTGCTACTACAGTCCGTCCGCACATGCTGTTGACATCTCACGACAGTGCATGAGTCTTATTCATTGAACCAAAGTATTGCAGCTCAGCCGACATTGTCGGCACAATGTGTTTATTTTTACTTGGTGTGAATCGCATTATAAGGACCCTAGTTTCAGGTGCCCCGTACGAATAAACGTGTATGTACCGTACCGAAAGCGTTGCCTTTGCTTCGGTCCTCGGTTTCCGAGGCTTGGCTTCTTTTCGTGGGGTTCATGTCGGCATATTATCTCGGCAGGGTATGTCTTTGCACATCAGAGCGGTTTTTAGGTCTCGCCAATCGGAATTATACAAGAGGTGCACTACTTTAAGAGGGTGCTACTGCAGTCCGTCCGCACATGATGGCAACATCTCACGACAATGCATGGGTCAGAAGTCGAAAGAAGTGCAATGATAAGGTAAGAGTGTGGGCGCCTTCTCTTGTCTGCGCGCGATGTGCCGTAAGTTATCAAATATTTGAAAATAATGATCAGAATTATGTTATGTACGAAGGCTCAGCGCACCAATAGATAATTAGAGACACGAATGTGCATAACTGGGATACTATTCTTGGTTTATCGTCAGTGATTTGGTGCTTAAATTGATCTTTTAGTACGTGTTATAAATCGTCTGCTGTCTGCGTGTTAAAAATCACATTACTGGTTTGTTGCCGAAATTATAATATTGCCAGATGGTAATTTATTGAAGATGATAGGTGCCCATGCGAGCACTGTGAGTAGCAATGGTCGAAACGACAAAATGAATAATGCTAATTGCCTGCTCATCATTTTGGTGCTAAAGATGTTGTTTGGGTTGTGTGATTTCCAAGTTGGCCAATTCTGCTAACGTGAGCTGGCTGTGCCCGTGTCGTACTGCGCATAAAACGCTCGCGGTGGAGATTTTCTTCTTCTAAAAAAGGTAAAGTACTTGAAGAATACTGCTAACTGTAAGTGACGGTAGTCATATGCTTACAAAAAACGTCACATATGCGGCGCATCTGACTCTCATCAAGGACATTTTTTGATGAAGTGGCTGTTTTTCGAGGGCCATCATCAACCGAAACAGGGCCTTTGCGGGACCACTGAGAAACAACTCAGCTTACCTCATTTTGATAACTACACCGGTTTTTCTTAATGCCCTTAACTGGCATCCAACCATTTGTGAATCCTCCCTTTACCTGGCTACGCGTCGGTCATGCTGTGCACTCCGCCCTCGCCCAAAGAACATCGACAGCCGGTAACAGAAGCCGGAAGATCCCCCCCCCCCCCGTGAAGCAAGTTCTTTCTGTGGTGGGAGGATTGTGTGCCCCAATGATCCTGCGGCAGTTGGGGAGGCTTGTAAAGCGCTCCTTCCGGCCAAGGGGAGGGGCCAGACGAAACGTGCCTCCCGCAAGGGCTTTGACTCGTTCAGAGTAGGGATTAGCAACTCCTCGGCCCCACTGTACAGTCTTATCTGGGTCTCGCCGTACCCCGCAGGGGCACCGGCTTCGGCCGGCGTGGGCACTAGCGCCCCCTCGGGCCCCAACTCCGGTAACAGGTGGGCAGCGTAAGCTGTTCCTCTCAGGGCGAAGCGACCCTGCCGGTACGTGAGCTCCCGCTCCTTGTCCCGCCTGCTCCCTTCCCATTGCCTGCTTTCCCGCATCCGGCCCACTCATCACTCCTAATCCTCGTTTTATCGGGGTCGCTGTGCCATCTAGTCCGCGTCCCCGAGTCGATCGGATCCTGGTGGCTGATCGTGCGGGTCAGTCACGGCGCATCCCAACACTCCACTTCGGCCAGGATATCCGGGGTCGCGGGAGCCCGTGGGGCCACACACGGGTCTAGCGGCTTGTCGCTTGCCCTGCGGCTGGGTGCTCCGTGCGGGTCTACGCTTGGGGCGCCTGGCCGTGCGCAGCGGCTTCAGGGGTCAAGGGGCGGCGGCGCTGAACCACGGTCGGGACGGGGAGCGGTCTCCCCGGTTACACCTGGCTGTGTGGGAGGCGTCGTTCGCCCTGTATAGCGCCGGGGTAGCCCCGGGCGGTGACCATCTCCCGAGGGAGTGTTGGGCCGTCCCCCAGTTGGGCTCCGTGGTGGGTGGGGAGACCCGGTGCCGAAATTAAAACCACCTTTTATGACGCCTTCTCACATTAAAAACATCCGTCCTCCGAAAAGGGAACGGACCCCGATAACCCCTGGATGCAGAGAAGAATCTGTCCCCCCCCCCCTCCCCGTCCACGGAACCTGATCTTCGGTACTGATGAGATCAAGCTGGCCTCCCTCTCACCGTTTCAAAGGCGGAAGGGCTGCGACAGGCTTGGGGAAATCATCATATGCGACAAGCTCAGGGATAGAAAAATAGAAGTAGAATTCGCGAATGGTCTGGAGGCGAGCAGGGTGATGGCAGCTAAGGAATGTACGTATAATGTTCCGGATGAGACTGGTAAGCACGAAAGGACCGTGTCCACATCAGCAACACCACATAAGACCAAAAATACGTCCAGGGGCGTGGTCAGTTGTTTTGATCTCCCTGACGTCGCCGAGGACGAGACAGTCGAGGAACTATCAGAGTTTGGCGTGACGAGCGCTGGTAGGATTCTCGTCAGACGAGGAGGAGAGCTGATGCCCACCAACAACCTGATTCTGGCTTTTAGTTCCACTGATTTGCTGGCCGAGATACGTGTGGGATACGCTCGAGTGAAGGTTCGCCCTTATGTGCCTAACCCCATGCGGTGCTACCAATACCAGCGATTTGGCCACACTAAACTTCACTGTCGTAACCGCCCAGCATGTGTTAAATGTGCGAATGAAGCTTGCACCTCTGCTGAGCCCCACTGCGTCAGTTGCGACAAGGACTAAGTCCCACACACGACGTTCGACCGAACATGCCCGTCCTACACGAAAGAAAATGAGATTATATCGGTTAAAA